GGGAAAAGACGATGGAAAAGCTCCATATCAGCCGCTAAAACTAGGTCAGGGGCTGCCTGTGGAACAGACCACCAATTGCTCAAATGTAAGTTCAAGTTGAAGCTGAAAACAATGAGAACAGGTCTATGAAAACCAAAATACAAACATGAGTCTAGCCCACCTGAACTTCAAGAACATCTCAAGAACAGACTTTATGCATTAAACACTAATGAGAGAAGACCTGATGCGCTGTGGGAAGACATGAAGAACATCATACATGAAGAAAGCAAAAGGTCATTAAAAAGATAGGAAAGAAAGAAAAAATCCAAGTGAGTATCAGAGAGACTCTGAAGCTTGCTCTTAATCATAAAGCAACTAAGGCAAATGGAAGAAATTGTGGAGGGAAAAAAAGCTGAACAGGAAATGTCAAAGGGCAGCTCAAGAAAACGAATATAATAAAATGTGCAAGGAGCTAGAATTGGAAAACCAAAAAGGAAGACCATTTTCAGCATAATATGTCCAAAGTACATATCAAGAAAAAAATCATGCCTTGAGTTACAATCTTGAAAGAATCTATAAGCAAAATGTTGAATGATGCAGGAAGTATCCAAAGAAGATGGAAAAATACACAGAGTCGTGGTACCAAAAGAAACTGGTTGGCATTCAACCATTTCAGGAGATAGCAGATGAGCATGGACCAATGTACTGAAGTGAGGTTTGCAGGCTGCCCTGAAGGCATTAGCCAAAAACAAGGCTCTAGGAATGGATGGAATATCACTGCAATGGTTCAACCACCTGATGAAGCTATGGAAACACTCACTCATCTGTGCCAGGAAATTTGGAAGAGAGTTGCTTGGCCAACTGACTGGAAGAGATCCATATTTGTACCCATTCCAAAGAAAGGTGACCCACCAGAATGCTCAGAGTACAGGCCAATCATTGACAGCACATGTAAGTAAATTTTGCTTAAGATTATCCAACAATGACTAGAGCAGTACATTGACAGGGATCTGACAGAGGTTCAGGCCAGAAGCAGAAGAGGGAGATCATGGCTGACGTCAGATGGATCTTGGCTGAAAACAGAGAATACCAGAAAGGTATTTACTTGTGTTTTATTAACTATGCAAAAGCATTTAACTGTGTGGCTCATAGCAAACATAGCATTGAGAAGAATGGAATTCCAGAACACTTACTCATGCCCATGAGGAACCTGCTCATGGAGTCAGTTGTGGGAACAGAACACAGGAAGGCCGTTGTTACTCTAGCTGCTGGGTGCAGGCACCTAGGGGCCCTGTGCACAACAGAAGGAAGCACTGCCTGGTGCACCATGCTCACAAGCGTTCTTATGCGGCAGCCCATGCTGCAGCCTCTGTGTCCCCCATCGCATCGAAGGCCTTCCACTCTTTCACTGACCCTCTACTTTACCAGGCATGATGTCCTTCTCCAGGGACTGGTCTCTCCTGACAACATGTCCAAAGCATGTAAAGCAAAGGCTCACTGTCCTTGCTTCTACGAAGCGCTTTGGTCATACTTCTTCGGAGACAGATTGGTTTGTCCTTTTATCAGTCCCTGGTACCTTCAACAGTCTTTGCCAAGAGAGTACTACATGGTTTAAAATCAGGAAAGGTATGTGATAGAATTCTATCCACTCACCATACTTATTCAAACGGTATGCTGGGAAAATAATCAGAGAAGCTGGATTATACAAAGGAGAATGCAATATCAGGACTGGAGAAGGCTTGTTATCAACCTGTGATAACCCTGCTGCTGAAAATGAGGAGGATCTCAAGCACTGTCTGGTGAAGATCAAGGACGGCTGCCTTCGGTGTGGATGACAACTCAATGTAAAGAAGACCAGAATCCTCACCACCAGACCAATAGGTAGCATCACAACAAATGGAGAAAAGATTCAAGTTGGCAAGGAATTCATCTTGCTTGGATGTACAATCAATGTTCATGGAAGGAGCAGTCGAAAGCAAATGACACATTTCATGGGGTCAATCTCTAAAGTATTGAGAAGCAAAGATGTTCCTTTGAGGTCCAAGGTGTAACTGACAGTTTGCCTCCTGTGCCCGTGAACGTTGGCTACTGAAGATGTGAAACTGAAGAAGCAGTGCACTTGAGGGAAGGTGTGCTGGAGGAGAATACTGAAAGTCCCCTGGCCTGCGACAAGAACAAGCAGACATATCTTGGAAGAAGTAAAGCCAGGATGCTCCTTAGAAGTAAGGATGGCAAGACTTTGTCTCACGTATTTGAACACATTACCCGGAAAGACCAGTCCCTGGAGAAGGATAGCACGCTTGGTGAAATGGAGCATCATCACAAACGAGGACCCTCGACAAGGTGGACTGACACAGTGGCTGCAACGATGGACTGAAACTAACAAGGGACAGAACCAGGCAATGCTTCATCCACTGGTACAGAGAGTTACCAGGAGTCCGAACCGCCTCTCACCAGCATCTCACCACCACATGCCCCAGGAGTTATATTGCTGTTTTGAACTGCCATTGAGTTGACCCCTGCTTTGTGACAAAGCTATGTTCCGTGGGCTCAAACCATTGTGATCCATTGAGTTTTCAATGGTTGCTTCGGGGGAGCAGATAGTTCCTAGTCTGCCTTAGCCTGAAGTGTCTCTAAATCCTGTTCAGGAAAACTCCAGTCAAGTGGTGGTGAAGGGTGTGTAGGGGGCCGATATCATGACTTTTAGTTCACTCTGTCTCTGGGTTGAGGAACCTTATCCAAAGAGCTTGACCAGTGACCAGACCAATGTAGATCAAGAGATATTGGACGGCAAGCCTGGTATCATAAATAGATAAGACTTTGGGGTCTTAGTAGGTCTCGGGTCTATTTTGCAGATGAAAAGAATATAAATGATTATGTCCAGAGGGCATACTGTGGTAGATTAAATATAGCCACAACATTTTGACAGCTCCTTCTAGGAAGAGGAGGATTTTATTGCCCCACTCCTTGAATCTCGCTTGCTTGTGACCAATGGGAAGCAGCAGCAATGACATTTTGCGACTTCCAAACTTCAGTCTCCAAGAGACCTTACTACCTCCTCTCTCACTCTCCCCCAGAACCTTATGAGACGTAAACAAGCCCAGGCTACTCTCCTGGAGGTTGAGTTGCTTCTTGGATAAAGGAAAACTTAGACACCATAAGCAACCCAACCATTCTAGCCACCCCAGCGGAGGCTCCAGACACCACCAGCCTACTCACCAACTGGCTGCAAATGCATAAGTGAGCCCAAAGGAGCACAGCAGAAACGCCAAGCTGAGTGTAACTGCCAACCCACAAAATTGTGAGCAAAGAAATGATACTGTTCTAAGACACTGCATTTAGAATAGTTTGTTATGAGACAGTTCTCCAAATGTACCCAACTCAACCTTCCCAAACAAGTTTAAGTAACTTGTATAAGGTCACATAGGTAGGTGGAAATAGAACTGGCTATTCCCAATGATCTCAACCAAATAATCTGAATCTCTTTGCATGATATGATACTATGGTTCTACATTTCAACTAATAGAATAAGCAAATAAGATGGAAATGGGTTTGAGAAACTGTTACAAAATGTGGCTGAAGGTGTCTGGGGTCGTAAAGGCTTGAAGGTAAACAAGCAGCCATCTAGCTCAGAAGCAACAAAGCCCACATGGAAGAAGCACACCAGCCTGTGTGATCACGAGGTGTCGAAAGGATCGGGTATCAGGCATCAAAAAACAAAAAAATCAAATCATGTCATTGTGAATGAGGGGGAGTGCAGATTGGGGACCCAAGACCCATCTGTAGGCAACTGAACATCCCCTTACAGGAGGGTCACGGGGAGGAGATGAGCCAGCCAGGTGGCAGTGTAGCAACGATGAAACATACAACTTTCCTCTAGTTCCTAAATGCTTCCTCCCACCCCCTACGCTCCCATCTCCCACTATCATGATCCCAATTCTACCTTACAAATCTGGCTAGACCAGAGAATATACACTGGTATAGTGTATAGGAACTGGAAACACAGGGAATCCCTTCAGGACCAGTGCTGAGAGTGGCGATACTGGGAGGGTGGAGGGAATATGGGGTGGAAAGGGAGAACCAGTTACAAGGATCTACATATAACCTCCTCCCTGGGGGATGGACAACAGAAAAGTGGGTGAAGATAGACGTCAGACAGTGTAAGACATGACAAAATTATAATAATACATTATCAAAGGTTCATGAGGGAGGGGGGAGTGGTGAGGAAGGGGAAAAAATGAGGAGCTGATACCAAGGGCTCAAATAGAAAGCATATGTTTTGAGAATGATGAGGGCAATAAATGTACAAATGTGCTTGACACAACTGATGTATTTATGGATTGTTATAGGAGTTGTACGAGCCCCCAATAAAATGATTAAAATAATAATAATAATAATCTATAATACAAAGGAAATATATTTCAAAAGTGGTATTCCTTGAGAAACGATAGTAGTTAACCAAACAGATAAAGATTAACTATGTGATTTTTTGAAAATGTGGCTAAAGGAAATTTTAAAGAAGGGCTCTTTAGCCAGAAAAAATCATTGCTTGGCTAGAGAAATCATCTTTACATATAAATGACCATTTTCTATATAGAGACAGACTGGTTATATCTTCAACATCCATTTGCCCTCCACTTCAAGAAAATAAAGTTGTTGTGTTTGTTTGTTTGTTTTCAGTATATAGATACATCCCTTACTAGAGTTAAGTCTCATACACTGTACTGTGATTCAAACCTTTTTGTAATTAGACTACTTTTTAAGAGGTACTTGTGTGCTTTTAAATCAGATTACTTACCAAAAACATGGTGCATAAAATGGGTGAGCAAAAGCAGAAATGGACATAAAGAACATTTGGACATAGTGATCGTGCATGCTAAATTATTTCTTTTCTCTTTCACAGATACACTGACATGTACACACTGGGAAACCATGGTGCAGAAATGAGGCAGATGTCAACGGATGAAGTTACGTACAAACACAGCGAATCATGCCCCAAAACACAGATGGTTTGCTCTTACCTTCTTCTGACAGATAGCAGATATTTCAGCTGTAAGGGGAAGGTATAAAAACATCAACACTGAAAGAGAGCCCATTTAAATAAGGGCAACCCTGCAGGGGATAGGGCTAGGGAAAAAACCACTTTAGGAGGACACTTCTGGACTTGGCCCAAACAGCTTCCTGTCAGTAAATTGGCATCTACTTATGGTGACCTTTATTCTCCTCAGAAGGCACCACAAAATATCTCTTTCTCATATGGTAGGGTTCATGACGAATGAAATAAAAAAAATACCTGGACACTGTGTTACTTATTCTTAGAAGTAATTCAACCAACTTTCTTGGACTTGACTTAGAAATCCAATCATGTTAAAGTCAAACAACTTTAATCTCATCTCCCTCCTTTACAGAGAACAAAATCAAGGGTCACTATGGTGGGATGACTTCTTCCATGTCTATTAACCTTAGAGGCAGACCCAGAGCTAAGTCTCTGGGTGCTATGTTGGCTGCTTTGTCTTTTATTCTATAATACTGATGTAACATGCTATATTCAGAGCTGCACCCTGGGGATGATTTGACATATCACACCTGAGGGGAAAAAAAAGTTGGACTCCTTAGACTTGAACTATCAATTCATACCATGTTTAAACGGTATAAGACATTTAAGAGAAGGCAATTTCAAACCCATGGTAGACCAGTTAGAGAAAAAGTGTCAAACATTGCCTACGTAAGGGATTGGCTTTTTAATGAGCAGATAAGAATTTGTTTTAGTAAGCATATCGATTATATCCATTAAAACATTGATGCTTAAAAATATTTGCAAATAGGTTTTTTAAGAATCTGTTAACACTTCTCTTGAAACTACAAGTGCTAATGAGCCCAAACCTTATTTATAGTATAGGCTATGTTATAAGTTATTAAAATGATTAAAGGTAAATATCTCCCACATCCTGTGTGGAAATAATGGATTAGTGGATTCCAATCAATGAAATTTATAAGTCGGTTTTGAAAATGGTTTTGTATAATTAATGATTGAGATCCTAGAGTTTATCTTAAATAACCTGAACTGAGGGCCACATTTCTAGATAAATAATAAAAAGTCATTGTCATTTTTCTTCCAAAGATTAGTAACATCTGCCAAAGATAACCAGGATTCTACAACATACCTGATATGGGCTTTACCTCAGAACACTGGAAATTCACTAAAAAGATCATCTAATTTAAGGGGGGGATAGTAATCTTTGACCCTACAAGCCCAAATATTTCACAGATACTCATAGAAATGCCCAACCCTCTTTGAAGTAGAAGCTACCTTCTTGCTCCAGTCTATAAATGGAGAGTGATCACTAAATCAATTCTTCTCTTCTGGTTGACATGACCCAATATTTAGAGTCAGACTACAAAAAAAAAAGACTGTAATTTTTATACTTCAAAGATATTAAGTAAAAAAAATAGTTCACAGAATTTAGCTAACACAAAGGCTTACCTTTCTTTTAAATAGGACACGTGGCAGGATTTCTTTTAGAATCTACATATCAAGTTTCCTCTGTAAGCCCGACCTATATAGAGTTTGCCCCCAACTTTTCCCAGATTTCATCTTTCCTTTGCGTTTCTGGGTACTTTAGTACTTCCCTGTGTGCGGAAGAGTGGCCTGTCTAGGAACCACCACTTCTAAGCCATAGTTTCAGAACTCTAAGGAACTTTAAAAACATTCCCATCTTGTCGTTCCATGGAGATGGCGAGGGGCGCTTTAGTCTCCTTTTCCCAGAGGGGCGATTGAGGATCAGAACAACCCAATAGTCTCCAAAACAAACCGCAGGAGCTAGTGCTAATGGGGACAAAGGTCCGTTCATCATTTCTTTTTCTACTGGTGGCTTTCATTCCCGTTCCTGTCTGGCACACACAGCCTCGTTCACACCTGTTACCTGTACAGAACATCCCATGAGACATAGGAGAGGGCTTCAAAAAGTTAGTGGGAACATGGAATTGGAAGACAATCGAATTTTTCCATGAACTTTTGAAAGGCTTCTCCTATGTTTCAGAGAACTTTTGTCATAGGGGTCCAAATCCAACCTCTACCCCCTTTCAGTAGAGACGGTACCTCTTTCTTCATGATTAAACATGTGGGTATATTATCAGCAAAACATGGTCACCATGCTTTATATCAGTGAATACTCACAGACTATAATATATTGCTACTGTCTTTGTGGAACAGAACATTACAAACGGAGATAAATCAACCTTGTCATTAGCCACGATTACACATTATTCATCCTTCCTGAAGGGAGCCATACCTTGTGGCAGAAGAACATCAATCAGCCATTCACTGTGGTCTCTATAAAGAAAAACAAAATGCATTTTTGAGCTGCACTAAAATGTTAGGTTACAGATGACTGTTCATAAGCTGTGTGCTATTTCTGAAAGGCTTTTAATAGAAAGCCAGTGTAATTAAGAGCACTATCATGATAAGCTTTTGAAATGTCTAATACACCCCAGCTAAATTATAAATTATAGACATTTCATCATATCCAGTTATCTTTAAGTGATACTTTCCAGATGTCAATTAAGCCAACCAAAATATGCATGATTTGTACCAAGCTGAGTCTGATTCTGTGAAACAAATGAGCAGAGAGCCATGGTGGAAACCAATCTGATTTTTCTCCATGACTCTACCAGGGCTATTCAAAACCCAAGCTCCTCGGGTTGATGGAATTGTTTTCTCCTGTACAGATAAATACTGTAACTTTTCAAAGCTGAAACCTCCCAAATGCAAGCTTTTTGTACAATAACTATCAGACCAACTAGCCTTGATAAGAACACAGACCCGTGGAAAATGTGAGTGATGTACCGATTTAAGTTGAAATCACTTTCCTTATCACCTCCTTGTTGCTCTATTTATTTTCCTTTTCGGCAATGACCTTTGTACCTACCCTGCGATCCGCTGGCTGCATTCTTCACAGAGATACAACGGGGGCGGTTTGTCACCCAACGCTACTGACAGGGAAGGGTCTATGCACATCTGGAACACATGGAAAAGGCAGAATGAGTCCTCCTGCCCAGTTCACCCATCTCTATACCACGAGCCCAAATGTTCCCATAGCGACAGACTTGCAAACTAGCCTCAGAGGGAAAGAGGAACACATACTTTAAATAGAACCCATTCTCCCTATGCCTGATTTTCCCTGCATTGGCTTGTGAGTCCACACCGGGTGGGGTGGAGGTGAGTCTGGTCATCGGGGGGCCGTCATGTCTCTTGTTAGTTGAAATTTCAAGTACAATAGTGCCAAGCAATCAATCCTCACTCAGGATAAAACTCGTCTGGTTCAATAGTTGCTCAAATTGGGTGTCTGTGACTTAACGTGGCAATTCCTTTCCCTAAACCGCAAACATGATCATCTCTTTCAGAAGAGGACAGTGTATTATGGAGATTCAAAAAACGATACCAGACTACTGATGCCAAAATGCTAGAGCAATAGCACATTTTGCTTTTCATGACGGAGCATTTCGAAATGTTAGTATTGTATTGAGGTGGGTGCCTCCCTGCTCTGACTCCAGAGTCTCAGTTCTATAGCAATCATCCGGCGCTTCCTTTCCACGCTGGCTTATTATTTTCTTCCAGACATGACCTGTAATTCGATTAATTCTACTATACCTTCTTTAGTCGTTTAGTTGCTTTTATTGTTTGTGACTGCGTTTTCAACAGCCTAAGTGCGGGGATGAAACGTGTGGACAGTTAATCAGGAAATTTGAAATAGCTGGGTGTTTGAAATCACCTGAGCAAAGCATGAAGATGATTAGCTGAATGTTGAATGCTGCCTTGGTTTACATTTCATTGATGCACTCATCAGTTTGAAGTCTGTTCCCGCCCTCCAACAAATAACCGATGCATGCTATAGTTGCAAACCTACACGCACTCAGCATGCCTGCAACACCCTCTCTACAGAAACTACAGCCTGTCTTTCTTTCAGGGCTTTTACTGATTTGAAAAGGGAAATGACCAGACAGGAAAAGCCAACCGCCCTATCATTTCAAGTCAAAAACATGAGTAGTTTGAGTGATGGAGAAAAGTTGAAATTGCTAAATTTAAATAATAAGACTATAATGATGTTGCAAATGATATAGTCCCTGATGTTAAAGGTCCAGTGTAAAATTTTTCCTTAGATAAATGCAATGTTCGCTTAGTTATGATGAATGTGTATATATAGACAAATATAGATATATAGATGTTGGCTAACTCTTTTTCTGTACGTTGCTAAAAATTATATGGTTTGGGGCTTTTAATAATAAATAAATGGTTCATCAGTTTCTGTTGCAACTATTCAAACCTGCCATTGTAACAAGAAAATAGCTACAATCTATAAGCAATTGAGTATGATTAGGTGACAATAAAACTTTATAAAAATCGATAGTGGAACAGATTTGGCCTGTTGGAACATACTTTATCAATCCCTATGTTAAATAAACACCTGGGTTTCAAAGTATTTACAAAGTTCTCTTCAGATACAGCCAACAAAAATCAAAAGCAGAGCATAATGTAATGAGCTGTGAATCCTATTATAGTTCCATTTTTCAATCCGACCTGTCATCTGTTACCTAAAAAAGTGTGTGTGTGTGTGTGATTGCTACTTATTGTAACAAAAATGGGTAAAACTTTCCTATTGGGAACAATCAATATTATCTGAGTGGTATGGCTCACTAATAATAGATAAATTCATTGATTTTTTTTTTAGGACTAAGCCATTTCCTGATTAATTGTTGGTCAGTTTGTTATACTGTGAAAGCTTGCACATGGCTGTGGATCTGTAAGCAATGTCACGGGTATTTCAAGTACCAGCAGTGTCACCCAAAGTAGACTGGCTTCATCAGAGTTTCCAGACTAAGACAGACTAGGAAGAAGAACCTGATGACCTACTTCCAAAACACTGGTCGTTGAAGCCTTATGACTAGCCATGAAACATGGTCCGATATAGTATAGATGATAAGCACCTCATGTTCTCATCTCAAAGGTACTCAAAATACAATTGGGGAGAAGTGTCACTTCAGAGAAAAGTGATCCTTAATCATGGATTAAGTAATGGATGGGGAAAGTATTCAGGACCTTTGTGTGGCAGGTTTCAAAATTAGAAGAAACTGCTGAAAACATTTATTAATACTTAGACCATGGAACATATACATGTGAATCTAGAAAAAGCGGAAATTGTCATAAGTAAAATGGAATGCATAAAAATCTATATTCTAGGCATTCGTAAACTGAAGTGACTGGTATTGGCCATCTTGAATAGGACAATCATATGACAAATTGAAGAGGAATAATGTGATATTACTCCTCTTCAACAAGCACATTTCAAGACTGATTCTGAAGTACACAGTTGTAAGCGATAGAGTAATGTCCACATGCTTACAAAGAAGATTAGTTAATATTTACACACCAACCACCAATGACAAAGATGAAGAAATTGAAGAATTCTACCAAGTTTTGCAGCCTAAAGCCGATCAAACACACAATCGTGATGTATTACTGGAGATTGGAGTGAGACAATTAGAAACCAAGAAAAATCAGTAGTTGGAAAACATGACTTTGCTGTTAGAAACAATGCCAGAGATTGCATGATAGAAATTTGCAAGACCAACTACTTATTCATTGAAAATACCCTTTGCTACAAAATAAACAGCAACTACACAATTGGTCCTGGCTGGATGGAACACACAGGAATTAAATAGATTACATCTGTAGAAAGAGATGATGAAAGACCTAAATATCGTCAATTAGAGAAAAGGCTAGGAACCAAGTGTGGAATAAACAAGCCACCAACTTCTCCTATGCACATTCAAGTTGAAAGCGAAGAAAATGAAGAGTTTTTGTGATAGTTAGCTTTTATGGCAACTTGGAGGGGCCAACATTCTCCCATGATCGGATCTAACACAGTGTGGGGTCAACTCCATGATGGGATCTGCTGTGATGCAGCCAAGCAGTTGTGGGGAGTCTGTTGTTGCTCAGTGCCCTTGAGTCTGGGCCAACTCATAGCGACCCGATGTACAACAGAACTAACCCCACTCAAGCCTGCACCATCCTCATGATTGTTCTATGTTTGCGCCCATCGTTGAAGTCACTGTGTCAATCCATCTCGTCTAAGGCCTTCCTCTGTATCATTCCCCCTCCACTTTATCAAGCATGATGTCCTTCTCCAGGGAGAGTCTCTCCTGATAACATGTCTGAAATATACGAGATGAAGTCTTGCCATCCTTGCCTCTAAGGATCATTCTGGCTGCACGTCTTCCAAGACAGATTTGTTTGTTCTTTGAGCACCCTGTGGTACTTTCAATAGTCTGGCCAGCACCGTAGTTCAAATGCATCTATTCTTCTTCAGTCGTCCTTATGTAAAGCCCAACTTTCACATGTCTAGGAGGCAAATAAAAATACCATGGCTTCAGTCAGGTTTATCTTAATCCTCAAAGTAGCATCCTTACTTTTCAACACTTTGAAGAGGTCGTGAGCATCAGATTTACCCAATTCAATATGTCCTTTGATTTCTTGACTGCTGCTTCCATATGCAGTGATTGTGGGTCCAAGCAAGATTAAACCCTTGACAACTTCAATCTTTACAAAGTTTAACATGATGTAATCTATTGGTCCAGTTGTGAGGATTTTTGTCTTCTGTACATTGAGTTGTAATCTACACTGAAGTCTGTAATCCTTAATCTTCATCAGCACGTGCTTCAAGTTCTGACTTTCAGCAAACAAAACTGTGTCATCTGCATATTGAAGGTTGTTGGTAAGCCTTCTTCCAAGTCTGATGCCACAGTATTCTTCATATAACCCAGCTTCTCTGATGGTTTGTTCCTTATACAGATTGAATAAGTATGGTAAGAGGCTACAACCCTGGTGCACACCCTGCCTGATTTGAAACCATGCAGTATTCCCTTGTTCTGTTTGCACTACTGCCTCTTGGTCCATGCACAGGTTCCTCATGAGCACAATGTATCGTTCTGGAATTCCCAGTCTTCATAATGCTATCCAGCTTTTTATGGTCCACACTGTCAAATGCCTTTGCATAGTGAACAAAACCTACATAAATATCTTTCTAGTGTCCTCTGGTTTCAGTCAATATCCATCTGACATCAACAATGATATCCTTTGTATCAAGTCAGCTTTTGAATCTGGCCTGGATCTCTAGCACCTCCCTGACAATGTACTGCTGCAAACATTGGATAATCTTCAGCAAAATTGTACTTGCCTGTGATATCAATGATATTCTTCCATAATTTGCGCCTTCTGTTGGCTCACCTTTCTTTGGAATGTGTAAAAATACCAGACTCTTCCAGTCAGTTGGCCAGGTAGCTGTCTTGGCATAAATGAGTGAATGCTTCCAGTGCTTCATCAGCTTGTTGAAAGATTTCTACTGCTATTCCTTCAATGCCTGGAGGCTTTTTGTGGCTAATGTTTTCAGTGCAGCTTGGACTTCTTCCATTAGTACCATTGGTTCTTGCTTATAGCCTACCTCTTGAAATGGTTGAATGTCTACTTGTTCCTTTTGATTCAGTGACTCTGTGTAAGTAAGCTTTCCATCTTCATTTAATGCTTCCTGTAGCATTCAATATTTTGCCCATAGAATCTTTCAATAATGCAACTCAAGGCTTGAATTTTTTCCTGACTTCTTTCAGGTTGAGATATGCTGAGCATGTTCTTTTTCGGTTTTCTAACTCTGGTTTTTTGCGTATTTCTTTATCATCTTTTACTTTGCATTCTTGAACTGCTCTTTGAAATTTTCTATTCAGCTCATTGATTTAATCATTTATTACGTGTGCCTTAGGTATGCTATGATAAGATCAAGTTTCAGAGTCTCTTACGACATCCACTTTGATTTTTTTCTTTCTTTCCTGTCTGTATAATGACCTTTGCTTTCTTCATGTATGATGCTCCTGATATCATCCCACATCTCATCGGGTTTTCTGTCATTAGTGTTTAATGAGTCAAATCTGGTCTTGAGATGTTTTTGACATTTAGGTGGGATCGACTGA